TTTTTCAAATTTTCATTTGGCCGAGTGGGCAATTTTTTTTTTTAACAAACTTGTAATGCGATGGCACAACTGTAGCATTGAGGGTTTCCCCAGAAAAATGCACGGTCTATTAAACTCGTTTCCTAGAAACTTACTGACCTACTTCTTCAAGCATAACAGAGAAAATGTATATGTAAATAATGGCGTAGGTGGGGTGTGTGTGTGTGTGTGGTGGAACCCCCTTAATCGCCCGAATGGACCAGACAAATCAACACGTAAGTTATAGTCAGCGACGACCAATATTTAGGCCTAATGCTCAAAGTAAGACGATATACAACACAAATATCTTTAGGGTAAATTAATCTAAAATAGGGGGGGGGGGGATTTAATTATTGAGAAAGTTGACGTAAGTAACCACTCCTCTTTTCTCTACATTTTTACTCCAGGGGTTACTGTGATGGTTAAGACTGTTAAGAAAGTTTTATATTATTAAGCTATGCCCGTAAAAAAAAGGGGAACCCATGTGGTTAAACGAATTTTGAGATGGATTAATCAAACATTAATCATAATTACTTAACTTTGGCTAAATAAATCAATGACGATTATGTTTCCAACAGTTGCACCATCCTTTACATTGGGCCTATCAAGTGGTACAACATCAAGCTTTAAAATCATATTCATTTATTTAGACTAAAGCCTCTTTGGATAATCAGAACAAGTAGACAATGTAGATGGTTAAGAACTGTTGTTAAGAAGGGGAACCCATGTGGTTAAACGAATTTTGAGATGGATTAATCATACAATAATCATAATTACTTAACTTTGGCTAAATAAATCAATGACGATTATATTTCCAACAGTTGCACCATCCTTTACATTGGGCCTATCAAGTGGTACAACATCAGGCTTTAAAATTATATTCATTTATTTAGACTAAAGCCTCTTTGGATAATCAGAACAAGTAGACAATGTAGGTCTCTATTTCCTTAATGGTGGTTTAAAATTATTAAAATAAAAGATCCCAAGGTCGATTTGATACAGCGTTCCCTTTTAAAACCGAGATCCGGTTTAGACACAAAGACAGCAGCACAAAGAGAAGACTTCCCGGCCGTTCGCAACAGACAGCTGAACCTAATTTCTGTCGTGTGGATAGAACGCCGCCCAGAAAGAGCGCATTGAGCAGTAGTAGCGAGGGGCAGGTGTTTGCTAGGCCTACGATTGGTTGTGATCTGCCTTGCTAGCGTGTAAAGGCTAGAGGGAAGGACAAACTTTAACAACGGAAAACGAACAGACCAGCTGTGACTATATGGCAATTTTAGTTAGCAGTACGAAAAAAACTGGGACAGTGATAAATAACAAATATGTTACAAAATAGATTTAGATATATCACTAGTATCAGTGAAATTTTTTTTACTGTATTAGCTTTCAAGAAAAATATACAAACACAAGTTTCTGTATGCCTAGTGAAACCACACCAAAAAAAATTTCAAGAAAACAATTTGAACCGCCAGTGAATATTCGAGAACTGCAAGTGGGTAATCGCTGACGGATACACACACCGTGGCTAGGAGAAAAGATGAGATGGTGCCGCGGAGGTGGGGGGGGGGGGGGGGGGGGGGAGTGGGGGAGCGGAGGTGGGTTGCTAAATTTCCGGAGATACCACGTTTTTGGTTTTCTTCAATGAACAGGGAAACGAAAACAACATTACTGCACGTTTCTCCGAAGCGCGGTATTAATATTCAATACATTTGATTAAGAAATTATCCCTTAGAACCTTTGTCTGTTGAGAATAAAGTAACAAAGGACGTAAAATAGCAAGACATGTTTCTATACTGAACATACACTGTGTTTAAAAATAATTTAAATGTAATATGTAGGGACAAGTATGCTCTTTCCGAACTTGAGATAAATTTTAATGGGTGAATTCTTAAGTAGCTGAAATTAGGTCACGCATACTTTTTTTCTTATTTCTTTTTGTTTAAAAATCTTTGTATCAAATAATTAAATGAAATATAGAGTAAAACCTGTGGGGGGGGGGGGGAGAAGAAAGATCGTTGTCTTCAAATTCCATCCAGTGGCAAGAGTTTAAAATAAACCACTTGTGTGAGAGAGTAGCATTATTGTCAGAACTCTGTTTTAGACCGGCAACACGTCATATCGCAGGTAGAGCGAGGTGACTCATTCCCCCCCCCCCCCTGTATATTTTTACAGTTATCATTTTCTGAGCTGGTATTTACATGTGCGCTTTACTTAGATCTAAATAGAATAAATGGCCGTTTGATGTTACAATTTTTTTTTAAAATTATGGGGTTTCACTGACCAACTATTACTAATGGGTGTAAAGTGACGTGAGGGTAGTTCCCATAGAGATGTAATGGATTTGTGGAGGTACTCTATAAATGTGTGTGTGTGGGGGGGGGGGGGGGGGGTGATGGGGGGATTGGTGACAGGGGAGTAGTTCCCATAGAGACGTAATGGATTTGTGTAGGTACTCTATAAATGTGGGGGGGGGGATGATAGGGGTGGGGGGATTGGTGACAGGGGAGTAGTTCCCATAGAGACTTAACGTATTTATTAGTGTAGATAGACTTAATAAATGCGTGATGGATGATTGAGGGTGGGGGATTGGTGACAGGGGGAGGGTTACAAGATTCCATATAGAATTCATTGATGTGTATGTTGGAAGAGGAAAGGGGGTTTAGTCCCCTTCACAGGTGAGAAGCTGGACAGTGCCTATGAGGTTTATTTTTAAACTTCATGCATTTATGTGTGTAGGTGGAAGATATAACTCCACAACAGGGGTGGGCTATGAGATGTTACATCTAGATTACATGTAATTGGGTGAGTGAGTTTAATTCCCCCTTAAGAAAATGTGGCGGTCACATTATAACTGCATCTTAAACAGGTCACAACACACACAGGCAACATAGTACAACACCCACAGACAACATAGTACAACACAAACAGACAACATAGTACAACACTCACAGACAACATAGTACAACACCCACAGACAACATAGTACAACACAAACAGACAACATAGTACAACACTCACAGACAACATAGTACAACACCCACAGACAACATAGTACAACACCCACAGACAACATAGTACAACACTCACAGACAACATAGTACAACACCCACAGACAACATAGTACAACATCCACAGACAACATAGTACAACACCCACAGACAACATAGTACAACACAAACAGACAACACAAACAGACAACATAGTACAACATCCACAGACAACATAGTACAACACCCACCGACAACATAGTACAACACCCACAGACAACATAGTACAACATTCACAGACAACATAGTACAACACCCACAAACAAAATAGTACAACACCCACAAACAACATAGTACAACACCCACCCACACCTAAAATAAGAAGTAAATTTACTTCAGCCACAAACCAAAACTTTTTAAAAAATAGCATGTTGTATACAAACTCTTTGTTAAAAGCATGTAAATATAATTTACGTATGAGTATAAAAAAATGTAAAAAAAAAGAAAAATTACCTTGACCAGATATAGCATCTGCTTTCCAAGTTGCTGTATTTTCTATAATTATTTTAGTTAATAAGTCCCGAAGATTTTTATGAAATCCACCTGCAAAGAAAAATAAATATGGTTAAAACTCTCTATTAGGGACTACCTAACAAGTCATTAAAAAAATAATGAACATTTAATTGCACTTTTTTTTTCTCGAACGTCCCCTTTTTTTTCAAATATAGGAATTAAATAATGAAGTGCAACCTGCTAAAAAAAACTGTGTTATGATTTTTAAATATTTGTTAACTATTTTAAAAGTTAGTTGTAAAAAAGTACCCATGGGGCAGGTGAAGGGATAGTGTGGTCAGCCGTATGCCCAGACACCTTAACTTTCCCTAATATGAGTCAGTTACCCATCAGAGCTGGGTAGACTCTACAGGCTTAAACCTGGGATCCAAACTCAAGGTTTTTGGGCTAGTAGTCGTATGCTCTATCCATGCTTTTCTAATTATAAACTAATAAAGTTATGTGTATTGTTTTAAAAAATATTTATTGTTTTTGCAGTTTTATGGGTTCTATACCTGGAAAAAGACTGTAAATAGTTTGTGGATCAGTTGAGCCTTGAAAAACAGCTGACTTTAGTAAATGACTCAATGTACAAATGCACTAAGGAAAGTAAACAAAGTCTGATGAATGAGTGAATAGAATGAATATCTATTAAGGTTACATTGATAGACTTGTAAAATATCAGGTCATTGAACAATAGATGCAAGGCGGATGAACAAATAATGCAATGGGCAAAATAAGAGAAAAAATAATCAACTTAGATGTAACGAAATATGAATTGTAAGGGAGTATCATTGTAAATAAATGCCTCTTTAGTCATAATCTTATTTTTAATAATTAGTAATATAGAACTATCACCTAATGAAAAACAGCAACATTTACTTTGATGAATAAAGACTGAAGTATTAAACTTAAAGTAAAACAATTACCTGTCTGGTTTCATTGGCAGAAATACCTAACAGTTGGGATGTAGACTGGACTAAAACATCTGGTAGATGGGAGGGGCCCCTTTTTCTGTACAAGAAAGCTTGTTGACAAATGTCAATCATTTGTTGTTTTGACGAGAGCTGTGGAATATTAAAAGTAACTTAAGTATATAATTTTATGCACACACACAAAAATCAAATGTTTGCTAGCCATATTAGGATTTTTCAAATACTTATTAAAGACAATAACACCAAGTCCATAATCGAAAAATTAATAAGAATGAAGATATTTTTTTGTACAAATGTTAGAGGTACAGCCAATAAACATGAACTTTATTTTTTAAGGAACAGAAGACACCTTGAAAACAATGAACCATGTTTAATTTTATTTGAGGTTTCTTTTTTTATTGAAATAGCTGCTATGGAAATTGTAAATACACAATGTCTGCTCTTTTTGTGATAACTTTAGATGATGGGGGTGGGATGCAATAGAGATGACATTTTACTTTACTGATATATTTTTTATGAAAAAAAAAAAAGAGTCATCAGATAGGCCAAGAAAAACTTGCGGAGAGTGACACAAAAAAGATGGGCAATCACTGAAGACGGAGAAACTAGACCAGGACCGCGTCACCTAGAAGGCTACATCTAGTGGGTGAAAAAGTGGCTACTACTTTTTATTATTTTATGGTTGTGAAGTGGTTTCAGTGCAACCGGGTTCTCAACCACAGAGACATCCAGCACCACTGGAAATGAAACACAGACATCACACATGCCTCAGGACCATCTGATACCCCAACATCAACAATAGCTACAAAAAAAGGTGCACTGTCAAAATGGCCAGTGAAAAAACAACCACAAAAATGACCCAGGCAAAATTGGTTTTTGTCAAACGGCTCCCTGTCAGGGTTTCTTGCAGGCATCTCTTCGGGGGGGGGGGGGGGGGGGGGCAGAGCCCTCCCCCGAAGAAAGTCTAGCGCCCCCCGAATGAGATAGAATTTATATAGTAAGCATATACTTTTACTAGTGTCCACCCGCGCGGAAAATGTAGACCGCCCCTTCAAAAATATCAAGTCCCCTCCCCCCGGAGAAAAAAGTCTGGAAGAAACACTGCTCCCAGTTGTGACCCACTCCCATTTATACCTGACCCCAAGGGGATTTCTGAAGTTGACCCGTAGCAGACCCTACGACGTCACTGACAGGGGACCCAAGCCCAGGGGGTTCGATAGACTTGTGGTTGTGTTGTGCTTGTAATAAAATAAAAAATTCTAACTACCAAGCTGCCTTTGTTCATATTCAAACTGTTGTTGGTGTACAATCCCATTGTCCAGACTCACAACACTCTCATCATACTGACTTGCACGTATAGGCTCCCGACTAATGGGCTGACGACATTGGCCGACGACATATTGGCTCATGAAATATGGGCTCACGAAAAAAAATTAGCTTTTAACAAAATCAGTCCCGATATATTGTCATCCAGACAAATAAATCGTATGACCACTTTTGGCACTGATGTAACTATTTAGTCCAAAAAGCCATCCATAAATGAGGAACGTTTGAAATTTTGTGACGATATGTGATGCGGGGAGAGTTCATATAAAGTGACGCCACACATTTTCGCATTTAAAAAAGTAATGTTTTAAATTAAATTTAAGCAATTATTTATCTTTTTTGAAAATGGTAATAGATCGAGCTCAGTCAATATTTTAGAAAGAAATCTATGATAAAAAATTAGATGAACTCTAAACTTGCACCATAGGCAGGTAGTTTTAAAAGGGCATTTTGACTTCTTAAAAATACCAGAGATTTATTAAATTAACTAATTGTAAGGCTTATGTTAAAATAATTACTAAATAATAAAGAGGGCCTAAAAAATGTAATATATTTTGTAGGCTTATAGGCCAATATAGGCTAGTATAAATTATTAGATAGTTTTTACTAGTTTTTAGTGATCGACATTCATTATTATAATATATTTTGATTTATGCCTTCGGGCCTAATGTTTTTGAATTTTATTATTTAGGCTACTTTAAAACAAATAATTAATTAGGCTAGGCCTATTCATGTTATTTTAATTAGTCTACTTTTATCACAAATAATTTATTCATAATTGGCCCTTTAATTTATATAATTCATTACTTAATATTTATTATTATTTATATTTAACTTATACTAGTTATAGGCATAATATAAGTATATAATACGAGCCAACCCGCGGTGTATCATACGCCGCTATTTAGTTGTTTTATTTTCTACTTTTCAGTAACTCATAATTTGTGAATTCGACAGTACCAATGCTGCCACTGAAAATATTTGCTTTAAAATACTATCAGTTGGTCGTTAAGGACGATACCCCCCCCCCCCCCCCACCCTCATTTCCCCCAACCCTACCCTACCTCCCCCCCCCGTGAAAGCAGCCTCCTCTTAATTACCTACCCTAAGTTTAAAATAGTTTCAAACTAAATTATCTGCCCCTAATAGGAGTCACTAAGCCCGGCTGTATGATTGTAAACATTTAGCGTGATCCTCAGCTCACCAGACCATGTGGGGGTGGGGGAGGTTGATTTATGCCTAGTGAAGAAGAGAGGCGACTGCAATGCGCGCTTACAGCTTGTTTTCTAGCGTCTCCTAGAAGAGAATTATATATATAGATATACTTATATTATAGGGCTTTATAGACCTATATTTTAATAATTAATAATAATAGGCCTATATAATTAATATAGGCCTATTGATATGAATATTATTAAAAGTAAATTATTGGTCTCTTTACTTTTATTAGTAAATTATTAGATTTAGAATCTAGTAAATATAATAATGAAAAATTAATTAAAATTTTAATAATATTAAATTATTAAAATATTAATTTTTAATTACTAGATCTAGATTCTAGATCTAATTACTAATTAGGCCTATTAGATTCTATATATTTAATTTAATATTTATAACTATAAGATAACTCAGTATAATATTAGTATATACTATATAACTGTATTCCACCTTTAAAAGCGTTTCCAATTGAGAGTAATCACTCTTCATTTTACTAAATGATGATATGATCAAACAACTAATAAAAAATTGTTCACTTTCTATCGATGTACTGTAAATATTAAGTGTTCTCATTAAGGCCTTATAATTTAAATTTTTGAGTATTGTCAAAATATATTAGAATCTGCGAGAGGGCGTCGACCATGTAATATTGAAAGTACTCCAACTTCCTGTTTCCTGTTCCCTTTTTGCCAGTCAGAGTGTTAGCATTTGGCCCAGCCTAAACTTGGCATCAATAATCTCAAGGTCATTCTGGAATGGAATTTTCCATCAACTCAAACCTTAATATTTGCTTCGTTTCTTTTTATTGTGGAATGAAACAAAAAAAAACAAATAAATAATAAATAATCAAGTCTGATGATATATAAACAATTATGTTTTACAATGCTTTTTATTTATTCAGTCATTTAGGAATATAGATTTTAGGTATTCAGTTTGACGTTTTAACATTTTTAAAAGAGGAAAACTCTAATAATAGGAGCCTAGGCCTAAGAGCTTGAGCGTGCGTTCGGCGCATGCTCAGTTTCTGGTAGAACAAAGCAACCAATGAAATCATTACCAACGGTCATGTGATAGAACGCGGAAAAGAAAATTCTGCGCGCGAAGTTAGTCTGGGTGAAGCCTGCGGCTGCGTTTCGTTCGCATCTCGTTCTTTGTCGTGGAAGGAACAACAGCGTTTCTGCCGTCGTCCGCTGAAAACCACACAATTTTACAATGCCTGGAACAAAGTAAGTTCGGATTTATGTTTTCCATCTGTGTTAAATTTCCTCTTGGATTACTCAATGGATTACGTATTTCTACAGTTTAAAAGTGAATACCTACGCCAAATTTGATGAAATAAAGAAATAGCACATTGTTCGGACATAAAGATTAGGACGGACCATCTAATTAAATGATTGAAATATTTTGATCTCAACATCTGGAAATGATTTCCTACTCAACGGGTGACCCGTATTTGACTATTTGTTTTATAGATCTAGAATCTAGATCTAAGATCTAGATACTGTCTTGAACAATTATTTAGGCCAAGCGTCTTATACAATTTGCGGGAGAATTTTTACACCGGTGCCAGATAATGGAATCTTCTTTAAAAAAGGGGTGTTAGGTTACTGGTAGTTTACTTAATACATACATTGCTGGCTCTTGTCAATGCGAACCCTGTCCCCAATCCTGGTCCTACCATACGCCTAACCCTGAATTCTAACCATAAATTAGATAACAACCCAACACGTATTTTATGGAAGTCTATTATCGGACACCGGGATCTAGATCTATAATCATCCCAATTTTCTTTTTCAGATTAAGTAATCTTAATTTAATAATTTATTATGTATTTCTAGATCTAGAAATCAAGTTGGATCTAAATTTTAATGTAAACTAGAATTCTAAGATTTCCCGCACCTCCACCACATTTAATAGATTTTTATTGCACGGTATTGTCGATAGACTTGATCTTTCTAACTAAACCAAACAGTTTGACCGGGAGAAACGTGCGATCTAGAGTCTAGAAAAGCTCTTATTAGTCTAGAATCTGCAATAAAGGTCTAACTCCACGCGATTGAATCTGGATTCTAGATACTCTAGACTCTAGATCTAGCTCATGAATAGATCTGGATCTCGAGTTGTTTAAAAATCTGGCATATTTAATTTATTTACTTTGGGTTTAGAGTGGTCCCTTGCGCCCAGTGACGTTCTGTATAAACAAAATCCACCCAGACTAGATTAGATCTAGAATCTATCGGCTTCCCAGTAGCGTGAATCAGTCTTTACCGTGAAGTGGAAAGACATCAAGTTCTAGATCTAGATCTAGATTTAGAATCTACACTGACACTAGTGCAGCATCTCTGCGCCTTTGCTTTAGCTGGTCAAGAATCTAGACTAGAGATCATTAGTGAATAATTTTTGTAATCTGACAATCCAGACTTAATCAAAATTACAGTGAAATTTTGTTTCCTCTGGTATCCTGGGTACTCTGTCCAGTGTTGTCTACTTATAAATTTCATTGACATGCTTAAGGATGGATAATTTTCTTAAATACTTCAAATACTTTTTACTATACTGTCGGGTGTGATTTTTCACTTGTTTTGTGTGGATCTAAGGCTTTGTTTTATTTTGTGACAAATAGTTGATTGTTTATTACTAGGGATGATGTTGCTGTTGAGTCAGAAACAAAAGAGACCACAGAGCCAATTGTAGCAAAGACAGTTGAAGATGTGAAAGGCAAAGCTGATGAGGTAATTCTATAATTTTTATTAATATAATTTCAGATAGTGCACAGCGTTTTGCATGTAATGTTAAATTTAAGAAATTTTTTACATATTTAAAAAAAGGGCAGATTCTGGCAAGAAACAAATGCCGTGCAATGGAGAGAAACTACCGCCTTCATTCGCAGCGTTGTTTCAATTGTACTGTGCATGCGTGTGTTAACAAAACAAACAGCAAAACCTTAACCCTGGCACAGCTATTAAGGTCACTGCACAGAACTATGAGTTTTGTATTTTCGCCAAACATTTTTCAAGTAGTCACTTAGTTTCAAAAATGGATATCTTTACATTTTTAGGCTGATGCTGAAGCAGAAGAACAAACAGAAGAAAACACAAAAACAGAAGATTCAGAAGAAAATACAAATGAAAATGCTAGCTCAGAAGAGACAGAATCAAAAACAGGTATGTAGACAGTATTTTGCTTACATTAAGCTGATTTTAGTTTATTGTCATAAATATTTAGCTTTAAATAACCATATTAATACAAATACTTTTCCAAAACAGAAGAAACAACAGCAGAAAAGCGATCTGTAGATGAAAAAGAAAGTGAAGATGCAGAAGATGAAAGTCCGAAGAAAAAGGCAAAGACAGACTCAAATGAATCATCGAATGGCACCACAGAAACAACTGAATCTGCTTAGTTCTATTATATATATAATTTTTTTTTTTTTTCCTTTTCATTTTGAACTTAATCACAAACTTGTAAAAATGTGTTTATCATCATGTTCAGGAGAAAACTGAGATATTTATAGTCAGGTTGTACACTTCATCATGGTTCTCATCATTTGTACTGTTCTTGTAATAAACATCTTAATGTATTTACTTCACTTGGATTATTTATTGTGTAGGTGGTTGTGTAGACCTGGATATACCAATTGGCTTGTTTCTAAATGGATGTTCAAATGACCCAGTTTTGGAATATATTTATATGCTGGTTTGCATTGTCTGTAGAGCATCATGTATTTAGGCTCCAGTTCAAAATGCCATTGCTTAGGTATAATAATGTACCTACATTTACTGCTATTTTTTTGTGGTAGTAAGCTATTACTCATAATTCGAGCTAATATTTCATAGGTGCTCAGTGATTTGGTCTTGTCAATAGTATTCTGACCTGTGAAGGTTTGCTCACTGATCAGGAGCTAATCCCAAACAATGAAATCTTCCTAGAAGTATTTTAAGACTAGTGAGCATGTCATGATTAAAAAGCAAAATAGCCTTGCAGCTTTCGCATGGTTCGTCACTCAATATTTATTTGCTACCCCAAGCATAGATACATGAACAAACAGTTCATCTTGGGTTCCTGTAAGATACTTTATCCATAGTATCAATTGTCCAATAATGCAAACTAGTATAATTTAACCTACTTACCAGCCCAACAAACCTAATATTTCAAGCTTTCAAAAGGTGTACATTGCCCTTATTTTGCTCAACAAATATCCTCTAAAATAATTCAAATAGATAGTAAGTGGAGCTACCAAGTTTCCTCCAGACTTTCCCAAGGGATCATCCATATTACCTAATTACTTAGTTTACTACCAAGTAGTAGTTGAGTTAGTATTTATGTGCTATCTTGCACTTTTTTTTTTACACAATCACCTAGTTTGTGGTGGTATAAGATTTCCACGTCAATTTTATTCCTGTGTGAAACAAACTAATATAGTAATAAACCACTATGGTAAGACACTACTAGTTAGCCGTCTAGATAAGTACTAGACAATTCAATCAATTACATGGAAGTATTGGAGGGAATAAGCTAGTTATTTCTTCCAGCTATCTTATCTAAAAAAAAAGTCGGTGTTGATAATTAACAGTCCTGAAAGTGAATGGAAACAATTTCGCTTGCGATCCTTGTAAAATTCAAAATGCTGGTGATTGGTTGGTAGCGCCACAAAATTTAATTTTAATAAACATAGGCCCTACTGTGTTCTAGCAAAGTGAATTCAAGGGAGGTAATAACGAAATAAATTATACATCTTCCTACTTTGACTGGTTATCGCCCGTGTAACGATTACAATTTGAGGAGTAGAGCGTAATATAAACGCACACAATTGTCCAGACACTTATCATATATATTTATAAATTAGTGATTTCCTTATTAATATTAATAATAAATTATAATTTTAATACTAATGCAAGGTCTACTGAACATAGTCTAACAAGAAAATCGAGTTGGTAAATGGGCATGTCGCAAGCTCAAACAGCCTATCCCTATTTAAAACAATATTGCAAGGCACTGTGCCCAAGAGGATGCTATCAAGAATCGATGATGTATAGATCTTAACTTAATCTATTAAATTTTATTGTCCACGGTATCATTGGCAATACACATGGATAAAATGAACTCTAATATTTGCTAAAGTAGTACAGGTAGCAGCAGGGAAGAGTACATCTGATTCTCTAACCATGTTACTATGGTTACGGTTTAGTCTTATCCGCAATGAGTTTTGCCAACTGTACTTTTCCCTGATCAAGTACACTTCAGAGAAATGTCAATTTAATTTATTTTAATTGTCAAGTAACCTGTTGAGACTCCAGGGTATTAATGAATGTATACTATACAATTAAAACTTTCATCTTAAGCCTAGCAAGAAATCAAGTATTTTATCTGGCATGTTTACATTGTTAGTAAAAATAACATTTTAATTTTAACTACTAGTAGCTGGCAACGTTATTTTTAATCACTGGCTTCATTTTCAGTAGTTTAGGAAAAAATGAACACTAAACTATGTTTGAAAACTATAATGGCAGCTCAACATTAATTCATAACATAGATTTGAATTACGAAGGTCTAAGTTGTTTTAGCCACGCCCACAAATTTTTAAAAGGCCATATCTAAGCCGCTAATGAAGCTAGAGACACAAAATTGATATCAATGTGCTTGGGAAAAAATCCTGTGGGTTTTTTTTTTTTGGTATAATTTTATTTGAAATTGGTGGAGTTTAAAATCTACGAGCAACAGCTTAATTGCTTTGATTTTTTCCTAAACAAACAGCATTCAAAAATGGTGATTAGAATTTTCCGTGCAAAGGGAAACTACTCAATGAATATTTTCAGCAAAGCCGTCCGATCTCAATAGCATCCCCTTACAACTTTTTTTTTTTTAAATGGAGGGGAAGATTTGTAGACTGGTGTAACACATTTTATGTAGGAGATTGACTTTACAGACACTTTATGTGGGGGTAGATGTGTTAGAAATGTGCACACAAAAAAGTGAAATGTCTTTTATTGACGATTAATAAATAAGCATGACGATTGTAATACTTAAGTTACGCGGTACCTTTTGCGGTTTATTTTAAATGGAATATTTTATTATTTAAGGGAGAATTTTTTTTTTAATAGACGTAAATTTGAAATTAAATTTAAATGTCAAAGACGATAATACAGCTTAACAAGATCATTAAAAGATATTAAATGGTTATCTCCCCTAGACAAGAACTACTAATTAAGGCGCATACTGAGCACATAAAGTGCTGTAGGGTGGAGGTGTAGGCCTAGTGTATGGTGGAGGCGTAGGCCCAGTGTAGGGTTGAGGTGTAGACCCAGTGTAGGGTGGAGGTGTAGGCCCAATGTGGGGTGGAGGTGTAGGCCCAGTGTAGGGTGAAGGTGTAGGCCCAGTGTAGGGTGGAGGGGTAGGACCAGTGTAGGGTGGAGGGGTAAGGTGGAGGTGTAGGCCTAGTGTAAGGTGTAGGTGTAGGCCCAGTTTAGGGTGGAAGTGTAGGGTGGAGGTGTAGACCTAGTTTAGGGTAGACACCTCCGCCCAGTGTAGGGTGGAGGTGTAGGCCCAGTGTAGGGTGGAGGTGTAGGTGTAGGCCCAGTGTAGTGGGAGGTGTAGGCCCAGTGTAGGTTGGAGGTGTAGGCCCAGTGTAGGGTGGAGGTGTAGGGTGGAGGTGTAGGCCCAGTGTAATAGGAGGTGTAGGCCCAGTGTAGGGTGGAGGTGTAGGCCCAGTGTAGGGTGGAGGTGTAGGTCTAGTGTAGGGTGAAGTTGTAAGGTGGAGGTGTAGGCCTAGTGTAAGGTGGAGGTGTATGCCTAGTGTAAGGTGGAGGTGTATGCCTAGTGTAGGTCGGAGGTGTAGGCCCAGTGTAGGGTGGAGGTGTAGGGTGGAGGTGTAAGGTGGAGGTGTAGGCCTAGTGTAAGGTGGAGGTGTATGCCTAGTGTAAGGTGGAGATGTAGGCACAGTTTAGGGTGGAGGTGTAGGGTGGAGGTGTAAGGTGGAGGTGTAGACCTAGTGTAATTGGTGTAGGGTGGAGGTGTAGGCCCAGTTTAGGATGGAGGTGTAGGCCTAGTTTAGGGTGGAGGTGTAGGTCCTAGAAAACGAATTTTAGACTTTATTTCGCGTTTTAGAAAACTGGTTAAATAAATTGCAAAAGGAATTGATTAAAATACTCTATTTTGACAGAGTTAAGAAAAGATTTTGGAAAAATATCGATGTTTTAAGAAAAATTCAACTGCAATTTTGAGGTGGGGGGGGGGGGTGTTGTAGGCTGAGGTGTGACGTCATTTAGGGGGGGGGGGGCTGGCTTTTGGTGACGATGTGCCATGTGGTCATTTATGGATGACCCCTAAATAAAGTGAAGAATTAATTTACTTAAATTAACAGGCATAATTTCTGTAAAATGGCTTTATTTTTATCGCGATTTTTTGTTATTAATTCCTAATCTTATTCAAATAAACAAAATGATATAGTAGTCTTCGGACATTAAATCCCAGGTACAACTCCCAAATCTCATAAGGAAACATAGAATATGAACTAGAAAACGCAGTCCACTCACCCAATTAGCCCCAGCTCCCGTTAGTTGCCCCCCGGCTTCTCATTAACCAGGCCCTACCTACCCCTACAGCCGAGTGTAATTACCGTATCTCGCTGTTGGGCGAGCTGTTTGAAAACCCATGTGATTTTATCACGCAGTCCCTCGCAGACCCACAATAAGGGGAAATAAATCTCAGCGGTATTGATGAGTTCTGTCCCTTCTATAAGAAGATGTAGTACACAACGAGTTTGAATAGAACCTGTAATTAATTTACGGATATGTGTTTTTTTTTCAGTTGAGAGCGTTATTGATTCACCTCGAATCAGGGACTCTCAATTAATTTTCTGCATGGGAGTTTAACTATAAGAAATGTCGTTTTTTTATAGTTAAATATCGTGCTTTACAAAGGATTGAATTTTGTCAACTGTAGATTGTACTATCTGAATTGTAGTATCTGAATTGACGCACAAGCTCTTTTTTAAGTGTGAATAAATAGAAGTTTTAGTGTAATAATGTCCCCCTCCACAAAAGTAAAGGCGTTTTGAATATGTGCATTATATATATATATATATATATATATATATATATATATATATATATATATATATATATATATATTCAGGCCGTACGTGGGTTGATTTGTTATTTTTTCATTCCACACACATGGAGTTGTTATGCTTCTTTTATAAAAAAATCTTAGATGGGAAGCTTGAATTAACAAAACAACACATACTCAAAATTTGTAATTTTAAAAATATTGGTGGACCTGAAATGCACTATGTAAGAATCCCTGTATTATACCCCAAAGTAACCAGTTTAAAAAAAAAAATCAGTAAAAATATAGGAAGAAAAAAATCTCGTTTGATTAGCTGAAAAAACCTGAAAGCATTAACTCCCCTTAGAATTTTGTTTTCTCCATCTGAATGAATGCCCTTGCAAACGAGCGGCTTACTTTGAATGACGACGTCGTACTGTGCTGTAAAGAGATTACAGGACAGAGTTAATTTGTTTCTTAAATAAAAGAATAAAGGGGAAAAAAGTAATGTCTAGCTCGTACCAAGGGAGGTAA